CATCAACAGAAAAGGGAGAGACGAAACATTCGACGACAAACAGAGACGGGATCCCGGCGGCAAAGAGACAAAGAGGAGACTGACATCAGATGAATCATCGCAGAACACGCAGATCATGACAAACAGAGGCGCGGGAAACACGTTGCATACAGCTCGCACGCGCATAAGGTGGGGCCTACCAGTAGTTCCACTACTAAAGACCCAAAACAAAACGAGAGTGAATCGTCCGCGAAAACATGGAAAGATACACGGCCATGATTTTTTTTGTCTTTTGTGCATGTCGAGAGTAGTGGAGCGAGGCCCTAAAATGGGCACCGCAAAGTGGTCGACCGCAGATTGCGAGAAAGGGCAAGGACCATTTTTTTGTTGTTGTTGTTGTTCCTTTAATAATGAAAACAATTATGGACCATTTTTTTCTCGACTGATGCGTGTCATCCTTGCCCACAGGCGTGTCATCCTTACGCAGAGGCGTGTCATCCTTGCGCAGAGGCCTGTCATCCTTACGCAGAGGCCTGTCATCCTTACGCAGAGGCCTGTCATCCTCGCGCAGAGGCGTGTCATCCTTGCGCAGAGGCGTGTCATCCTTGCGCAGAGGCGTGTCGCCCTTCCGCAGAGGCGTGTCATCCTTGCGCAGACCATTTCAGGACTGGCAAATCGCGGGGGGAAATGGAAACGCGGCAGGGATGCACCGAGGGGGGGGGGGGGGGGGGGGGGGGGGGGGGGGGGGGGGAAGGATCGGCAGACAGCAGGGCGAGAGGCACGGAGAGCATATCGACGAGAGCATGCGCGCGCGCGTCAGGTGGTGGACAGGGGAATGAATCTAGGCGGAGATAGCGGGCAAGGGGATACTCTCCGTGCACACGTGCGCTGTCGGGCACATATCAGCAAGGCGCGGAACGATGACATGGAGAAGAGAGGAAAACTAAAACGGTTATACATAAATAAATAAATAAACAAATAAAACGGTTAAGAAAGCGAACACGACAAAGAGGAAAGCGTTAACGTATGTACGACAAAGGAGTGCGCACTATCAACGGAAACAGGGGAAGGAGGAGGGGAAGGCAGATTAGCCAGACGAGAACAAATAATGGGCTTCGCTCCACTCTTCACTAATTGTGCAAAATGAGAGTGAATCTTCTGCCAGAACATGGCAAGATACACCGCCATATTTTTTGTCTTTTGTGCATGTGGAGAGTAGTGCAGCCACGCCCAATGCATTTAGCAGCAGCTCGTATGTGATTAGATCAGCGATGCCACGCCGCAACAATGCACACTTCCAGCGAACCTATGCCGACGCAGCGAATCTGCCCCTCCTCCTCTCTCTCTCTCTCTCTCTCTCTCTCTCTCTCTCTCTCTCTCTCTCTCTCTCTCTCTCT